TCTATATTTCATTTTGTTCTTGCAATCATATATTTAATAAATTAATTGATTTATCTTATCGGCCAAAAATATTTGTCACCACGTGCATTGCACGTGCACTTTACTAGTTTATTAAAAAGGGGTGTACATATAGCATTGCCCTAGATAAAATATGGTGATAACTCTACAAAATTTTAGGTCGTCTGACGACAACAGGTGCAATAATGTCACTGGTGTAACTTCAGTTATATGGTTTTTGTTTGTAGTGTATTATCAGAAGATAATTCCTTACTATGTATTTATACCAAACTTTTTGTATTTACACAGGAAAAATAATCAAGATTCATTATGTGCTAAATATATACATCTATCACATCAATCTACAGAATAACAAGATTGACATAATAATCTAACATAAGAAAAATATACAAAATTATTCTAATACTCTCACTTGAGTAAAAACATATTTGTCATCCATGCCCAACTTTTGACATAACTCACCAGAACACTTCATCTTAATGCTTTTATAAATATACCAGCAACTTTTGTTTGGATGATGGGGTAAAAGAAGTAACAAATCTTTGGACTCATTACACAATTGTGGATAAACTGGCAATCAATCTTTATTTGTTCTTTTATGAAAATCGGGTTACTAACAATATGAATGCCCTCTATCGTTTTGGAAAAAAAAAAAAAAAAAAAAAAACAATATGAATGGCCGCTTGGTTATCACAAATACATAGACAGTGGATCATTATACGTATACCCCAGTTCTTTGAGTAAATTCTTGAACCAAAACTTCTCACAATATAGGTTGGGACCTTTCCTCTGCTTGAGCACTCCATGCAGCAACAATAGTTTGTTTTTTAATACACCTTATCAAGAAAGTTCATCCAACATAAGTGCAATATTGTTGAATATAGAATTTGGAAATTTGATTGATAACTGAGTATTTGGAAACTCGAGTCGTCTCTCAAGGAAGACTATTCGGTGTTTCGTTCACTAACTCAAAGTACAAAAAGGAGAAAATTAGAGGTACTAGACATTCTAAATAAGTATTCATAAATGAATTTAAAATTAATGTAACAGCAAAATGATTGATTAATATTATTTAATTATACTTATAATATAATTATATAATTAAATACTATCGATATAATATATATCTATATAATGGACCAATTACTATAATTGGTACAATTTTGGGCGGGAATTTTTTTCGTCTATATTTGACATTTAATTAATTTTTATTTTTTTTTTGCCGGAACGATAGATGAACTATTATAAATCGAGTGCACAAATGTGCGAATAAAAATACAAGCTCCCAACGGGAGAAGAGAAAGCAACCAAAAGCTGAATAAAATGGGAGGACAGATCAGACGACTGCCTAGATCCTGACTCCAGCAACACTAGAAACCAAAAATTAAACTCACAACACAACCAACACAACAAAACACAAATAAAAACTAATAAGCTCCCCACAGGAGAATAGAAGGGAGCTGCTCCCCACAGGAGAATAAAGGTTGCTCCCACCCAGACTTGCAGAGGCCAACAGACCCAAACAAAAAAACAAAAGCTCCTAAACAACACAACCACAAACAACAAACAAAGAAAAGAAAACACAAAAGCATAAAAACACACAAGCCCTTCCACATAGGCATATATCCGAGCCGAGCCAGCAGACACTAATTCGGCCCTAGAAGAATCCTTCAACCCAAGAGAGTCGACCTCTCCACTGCCTAAACGCCTAGCTGAGCCGAATCCCGAGCATCAAAATAACCCCAGAAGGCCGAATCTCCCCATAGCCAGACCCCACGAATTCGCCCAACAGTCGCAACACCAAGACGCTAACACCACTAGCAACTCGGTGCCACCGGTAATCTCCCCGAAACCAGCACCAGAAAATCAGGGAGAGGAAGCAAATTCTAAGAGTAGCAGCCCTAACCACATCAGCCCAAGGCCACGAGCCGCCAGAGCCGCACCCGAACCGCAGAGCAGCCCTAGCCACTCCGTCCAGAAGCCGTGAGACGTCGGAGCTGCACCCGACCCCTTCCCGCAGCACCTCATCTCGCCCAAAACCCACACCCAAAACCCACAGCTGCACCCTGGAACATCGCATCTCCACCATGGTCAACGAGCAAGTAACATAGACGAACCAGAGCATTGGAGCCGCGCCCTCACCATCCTTATCACCGGAGCAACAGGGCTGCAGCTATTAAGAACCACAACACCATCTCCAGACCACCGCATCGGGGAGGGCGTAGATTTGGGCGAGATTCAATCAAAATCGCAACAAGGCAAAGGAAGCCACACCGACGGGAAAGGGCCGGGTGGTAGGGGACGACGGCCGGCGGAGCCCAGTAGCCCAGTGGAAGGCAAACAGAATGGCGAGCAGCGGCGCCTAGGGTTTGAGGAATTTGGGGGAGACGAGAGCAGCGGCGCTATATATTTTTACCATAATTAATCTTCATTTATTAACAAATTATCCTCCCTATATTATCCTCCCTATATATAATTGCAGAATGCGTTGAGCCTACGTGGCTGCTTCTGGTGCTTCGGAATCTTATTTGGCAAAAAATCATGCTTCGTAATTAGGTTTGGACAAATAATATTAATATATTAATAATTAATAATCTAGGTTCGGGTATTCCATAAATATTACTTAGTTAACTTAGGTATTTTAATATCACTTTTACTAATATAACCCTTTAATTATTTGTAATTTTATATAGTGAGACACTAAGTGACTAATATATCCCTAAATTTTGATTAGCTTCCTTCAATAAGTTATTGATTTATAAATGTATTTCAAAAGTAGATAACTTTTGTATTTCTTATCGGTTTTACATATATAATATATCAAATTAATCATCTTTTGATGATCTTCGATTTGGCATCCATATTGTATATATAAAATATATTATCATTTGTGGTTGTAGATATTAATTTAATTAAGTATATTCGCCGATCAAAAGTACTTAAAACATATCATAGAATAATCAGAATAACTTTGTTTGAATCATACTTACTTAGTTAATAATTTTAAATATAAATAAGTTCTTCTAAGATGTAGTAAACTTAACCATAAAAAGGAAAGTCTCCAGTGAATATATTATTGAAAATTACTATTACGATGGAAACACAAAAAGACATATTTTACACATTCTCAACAAAGTTTCACAAAAATGGATCCTCTCTTTGTGTCGTAAAAATTTGACGGACTCATTGCCACAATAGGCGTTGACTTCGTCTAATTAGGATATACAAAACATGGGGAAAATGTGATTCACTTTATTGAGTGCTTTTTTCATGATTCCTATGTGCGTTTATTGGCAAATATTAGTTTATATAATGTTCTACTGATCAATGACTTTATAATGCCTTTCTATGACGTGTTACTCTTATCATGGCTCCTCGAGAGAATAGAAGTGGTTTGCTCATTGAATATAATATTTTGTTCTAAATATGTATTAATAAATAACGGACCTTTTTAGACTTTAAATTGTTGCTGGTCTTTTTACTAATTGTAGTTCAAAACTTTAATTGTTCTGGTCAAATTATTGATTTTTTGAAACTTAACATTGAGAAATTGAGAAAAAAAAAAAAAATCAAACGCGCACGACATGTCTATCTTACAAGAATGCAAGCACTCACATTATATTATAGATATACTTATTACTACAATTTTGCTAAGGAACCAGATGGTTTGCTTCCTTATGGAACCAACCATCTGGTTTTATGGAAAAACTGCTTATTACTAATAATAATTATTGCTAATAGCCACTAAGCATCCACAATGCTTTGGGTTCTTTAAAAAAAATATACAGGCCACGTAGGAAATAGAACCAGTCTAGAAAAATATTTACTCCAATGTATATACAATTGGACTGGGTCCTGCTGATGTGGCAGCAAAAAAATGAGACTCGGTACCGTTAAGTCTATTTTAGACCCACGTAGAGACCTAGTCTCTTTGCATTGGAGTTAATTTCATTATTTTTCAATATTTTTGTCCATGTCATTTAAGACTTAAGTCTATTTACATGTCATGTAAGCAAAACTAGACTCAAAGCATTGTGGATGCTCTAAAAAAGATTGGTTTGTAAAATGAAGTATTCATAAATGAATTTATGAGTCACAACATAAAAATTTTGAGAACAATTGTTTGCAACTTCAGATTACACGTTTGGTAATAATAACAACCTTTTCACATAAAATGAAGTCATGAAGTTATATCATTCACAGAAAATTGTTTTTTAGTATTAAGGTTATTTGAGAAAAATTTTCAATTGTAGCTTTAATGGTTTATTCTGTAATAATAATAATCATTTCGTATTTGTATGAAAATATTACTATCATGAAACATCAACTAGTATTCGATCCTGTGCATTTGCACAGATGTAAATAAAGTATTGTGAAGTATTGTGAGTTACTTGTATGCATATAATGATTAATTATTTTTCTTTCACTTTTTTGCATGCCAATATTTACAAATAAAGAAGTTGGAATATTTACTTTTTTTAAAAAAAATTGCGTTTATCTGATTGGATGTAATGTATATTTTGGTACGTCTTTTTTTTTGAATTATTTATCATTTATTTAGGAATTTCAAATACGTTTTTAATTTTTTTTAAAAAATAATTTAAATGTAACCACAATAATAACATCTAATCACATTGTACGATCAACACATTATATGGTCAACTGTCACTAATAAAAAGTTTAAAATGATTTTTTTTTTTTGAAGTAATTAGTATTGATTATTTAATAATTAAATAAAAGATTAAATACATAAAAAAATAACAGTTTTTGGAGGGAAAAATATTCAATTGCCACATAGGTAAAATTTATTAGGTTTTATTAAATGCTATTGGCTAATAATTATATATATATAGATGTGAAATACAAAATACATGTGGATTAAAGAATACATTGATATTTATGGATGTTTCTCCTTTATATTTTAACAAGAACAATATTCATTTATAAATATTTTTCTAACCCTACATCTTGCCCATCTGTTCGTAGGGAGACCGAATTTAAGGGTCCATTAAACAAAAACATAAGATAGAGATATCAAGAATAATCTTATGTAGGAAAAAAATATTATTTTTCAATAAATGAAAAACTCTATTTTGAGCTATCGGACGCGTAAACATTGATCATGATTTATAAATATTAGTTTGTGAATATCACTGCGACCGGTCATATTATCAATCTATTTATAATGATATTTTTAACAATATTGAAATAAATTTCATTTTTTGTAAATTGTATTGCAAAAACATAAAATTTAATTAATTAACAACTTATTAAAATAATTGTCATAGAATTATATTACCCTGGCATCGCACGGGTTTAACATTACTTAAATAATATCACTCACTCATTCTAACATATTACATAACTTTAATTAACTATTCACCAACTCATATAATTTTAACTTACCATCACTTCACGTTATTTCTTTAGTATTTTTACATCAAATAAATTTTATTGTTCTATTTTATATGTTAATTTAATATATATTCAAAATTTCACTAATAATAATGATGTCAACATTTTTTTGAAATTAACTAAACAAAACAAAAACATCAAAAGAGAATGAAAAGTTCTTATGATTGAGGCGCCCAGCCAGACCAAGCGTCCAATTCTACTTTTTTCATCTTATTTTATAACGGTTAGATCAACTATCTCCGACGGTTACATAATGATCAGTGCCGGCTCCGGGGAGAGGCACCTTAGGCCCATGCCTAGGCCTCCCATTAGTAGGGGCCTCAATTTTTTTTTATTTTCTTTTAATATTTTATGTATTTATGTTTGGTTTTGTTTATTTACACAAATAAAAAGACTAATAACTAATTATAAATTCGACCCATTACACAAATGAAGAGGCTAATTAATGAATGAGCAATAGCAAAATATATACTTTGTGTAGAAATTTGAGGCTCCAAATATCTCATTTGTTTTCTTATGATGTTCGATTACAACAGTTGTGTGAGAATAAATATTCTTTGTTGTAATATGATTTTTATTTTCTCTTCTTTGTTGTCTTCGTGGTGACTGCTTAAATGCAATTTATAATTTATTAAAGGTAATTTTTCAATAAGATCTAGAAAAACAAGAAATACTATTTTTTTTAATTATTTATTTATTTAATAGTCTTGTTTAATTAAACTTTTTCTTGTATGATTCTATCTTCAAATAAATCCTATCACACAAATTCAAATCGAAAATTTTGAAAAGGAAAAATTTGTCTGGGGCCTCCAAATTTTTGGAGACGGCCCTGATAATGATTTAACGGTTATAAACCCCAACGGAATAGTTCCGTAACGGAATTGTGGCATTTCCCAAACGATTGATATTTTTAAATTATTTATTTATGATACATTCCGAGTATAATAATTTCCAACGAAATATGAACGAAGTGTGCTTGTTTCAATTCTATTTTGTAGGTTTCAGTTCTGTTTCAGAATCATGCTGATCTGCTTGTGGAGTTCACTCATTTTCTTCCCGATATTTCGGGTGCTGCCTCTGTCCAGTATGCGCAACCCAGCAGGAATCATGTCGAAAAGGTAAGTCCATTTTGTGCTTGCTTGTAAGATTCTTACACAGCTACTGTAAAAATGCTCGTCGCGTTTCGTATGCTGTTGGTGAACATTATAACTATCAGGTCGACAAGGGAAAGGGGAAACAAAAAGCCAGAGACAACGATGAGTGGGAGAATGATGATGATGATGATGATGATGATGATGGGTCAGATTACAGAAGAAAATCTGCTGGACGATATGGCCTTGCAGCCGACCAATTGCCCGGAGGAGGTAGGAATAGATGCCAAATCCAATCTATACAACCTCGTATCAATTGTTTATTGTTTGTTATCATGTGCATTTTTAGGTAGTTGAATGTCTAGTATCTATTGAAAGATTCGATATTGTCCCATTTTAATGGAAGCTATCGACTGTTAATGTTTTGGGTCCTAGCTTGTGTGCGAACAGCAAGAAGAATATAAGCATGAGTGTGAATTGAAGATCATATTCGGTTTTCTGATTATCTTGCTGAGTAACTGGTAGATATGGTCACAAGGCTGCATGATTCGCTCCTTGGGGAGTGATGTCCCCAAACGAGACATCTAACATCAATTGTTTTTGCTCAGGGATGGAGGGGGCCGAGTCAGCTTTCCGCGAGAAAGTTAAGGAACGGCTTCGGGCACCTGAAAATTATGAAAAGATTTCAGATTGCATCTGTTCCTTTAAAAACAAGTTTGTCCCAGCAGCTGACTTTCGGAAGCTGGTAATCCTTTTCTCAGATTATCTTGGAACTCCTCTTTTTTTTTTTTTAAGTTGCTTTCTTTTCCTTGTCTTTTTTTCTTTGTCGAAAGAAACTCATATGTTTTTGATCAGGATGTAAAATGTATTTTTCTATGGTGATAAATGGGCTTGGCTAGAACTCATCTCTAAAAGCTAGCTCAAAAGGAGAGGGTGCCCGACCCACACATATAAACACCAATAACTAATCAATGTTGGACATTCATAACTTCTAACATACAGCTGTGAAGTTGATTTTCTGAAGTCTCACCATCTGAAACTCCTATGAAAGAACTTTTGCTCTTGCCTCTCTGAACCTCGATATCGTTTTGATGTTCTCTGTATCACTGTGAAAAGTATAGAGAATGGTTAAATTTCAGATAATCAGGGTGCACTTTCAAACCATTGGCATTTAATTTTGCCAATTTTCATTTGGAAATCAAATAGAGTTGATAAACCTTCCGAAATGAAAAACGAAAATTTTGGAGTGTGAATAGGTGAGACGGAAGTCAGTGTAATGATAAAGTTTCATGTTGATATAAAGTATAATAATATAAATTTGTAGTTAGAGTTGTGTGAGTGAAAAATGTGTAATAAAGATTGCTACTTGAATTATATTATTCTAAAATTGAGTTGAAGTAATTGCTGAAGAAAGTATAGTTGAGTGAATGGTACAATTGTGAAATAATTTCTGAAAAAAATGCATTGTTTCTGAAGATGAAAAAATCTCAGTATGGGATCAACTCCAGTCACACTCTAAAATAATGCAAATGAGTCTCAGTAGAAATTAGCTTCTAGTTTTAATGCCTTAATGTTGAAAACATGATGCGGAAAATTCAATATGTTCGTAAAAAACTTGGAATATGACAGCTTTATCTTGAACCTCTGCCATATCTGCTACCTTTGTGTGGTTTCTGGGTTAGGCAAGGACACTGACATTTCTGGAATGACGTATCGATTTTGTGATCATATGTTAGCAATGAAACAGTATTCAGTGATATCAATTCATGCATAATTTGATATAAGGGAAGGTCATTTCTTTGAGTATTGAGTCAATGTTCTGTGATAAAAAATGTCAGCGCTTAACATGTATGAAAAGATTACTTAATCAAATGCATGGTATGTAATAGATTACCAAGATCATGACATTCCATTGTCCTTCACCGAAAATAGTATATTATGATTCCTTTTATCATTTTATGATCATCCCCATACATCTCTATTGGTACAACTGGGAAATGGGAAATCTTCATACTTAGTAGTACTGATGGAGAAAACCTAAATGACTATGAACTTGACTTCTGCTTAGAAATTTCTGAATGAGGTCGTTGTTATTGTAAGTTAAGATGAGGTTTGGAAGAATTTATGGCATTTGGTCAGTTTTTTTCTGTTTTATATGATGTCTTTGAAAGAGCATCTAACTAGGATGCTAAGTTTTTCTTTCAGGTGGCTAGTTTAATTGGAGAACATCCAGACCTTATGGAGGCCTGTGAAGATTTCATAACATACATTGAGAAGTCTGGTAATTGGATATGATGGTAGCTTTAGTCTTTTATGCTCCTATCACTGTACTTGCTTGCCTGACTAGATATTCAAGTAATCAGTTTTGAATTTTGTTCATTTTTCATGGCTTTTTCAGCATGAGAATTTATTTAATTTTTTTTTTTTTTTTTAAATGGAAAAATGTTACAAAAGATTAGTCATGTAGCATGCTACTGGTTCTTTCTTATATTTAATTTTTGTTTATTCAGGTATCAAGCAGATCAATAAACAAGTCTTCAGATCATTAAAGGTTGATGAAAATGGAGATGATCATGACTGGGAAGACAGAGATGAAACTAAAGACCATGATAACAGAGAAAAAGATAGGCGTGATAGAGGTCTTGCTTTTAACTCTAAAGCTGTGCCAGGACAGAAGATTTCATGCACAAGCAAAGATAAGTCTATGGCAAAACCCATTCATGAACTTGATCTCTCTGAATTCAAGAGCTGCACTCCAAGTTATCGGCTTCTACCAGAAAATGTATGTCTCTTATTTAATTTTCAATATTTAGCAATAATAGACATTCTACTCAATCAACTTTGCTCTTCTTTTACTCAGTATCCGATCCCATTAGCAAGCAGGAGAACAGAGATCGGCAACCAAGTGCTGAATGATCGCTTGGTGTCGGTTACTTCAGGAAGTGAGGATCACTCATTCAAACACATGCACAAAAATCAATATGAAGAAACTTTGTTCCAGTGTGAGGATGACCGGTAAATTCTCCAAACTTTTACAGGATTTTTTTTTTTTTTTTTCTTAGAATTAATCTCCTGTTTCGATGGAGCTCCTATCTCTTTATCTCTCTCTAATTTGTTCTAACTCTACCATCTTTAGGGTAAGTATTATTTCATCATTAGATACTAAATTTTCTTCAAATATTACTTTCCCCGATATTTAATCCATAGGTTGCAAAGGAGCTTCTTTCCTCCATTTTCTTTTTCCCCCCAATAAATGGAGACTAAATGGGGTATATCCGTATATGGTACTCCTATACATCAGAACGCGGCAATTAATGATCTGATTGTGATTTTAGGTTTGAACTTGACATGCTATTGGAATCTGTGAATGCGACAGTGAAGCATGTTGAAGAACTTCTGGACAGAATGAATGCTCACACTACTAAGGCAGACAGTTCATTTAATATTGAAGAATGTTTGTCAGGTATAGTGAGTTTCTGATGATTCTTCATAGAATATATCATGCTGTCTTGTTAATAGCAATCTTTTTCCCAGCCCTTAGCCTAAGGTGTATTGAGCGTTTATATGGTGACCATGGGCTTGATGTGGTGGATTTATTGAGGAAGAATGCACCTGCAGCACTGCCAGTCATTTTAACTAGGTTGAAGCAGAAACAGGAAGAATTGGCAAGGTGTCGTGCTGATTTTAATAAAGTTTGGGCTGGTATTTATGCTAAGAACTATCCTAAATCACTTGATCATAGGAGCTTCTATTTTAAGCAGCAGGATACAAAGAACTTGAGCGCTAAAGGTAATCAAGCTGATAATGTTTAACATGGTTCCTGTCTCAATGTATTTGTCATGTTTTTAACATTCCAGAACGATGAGAAATTATTACTAATGTAATAAATCTGAACCAAATTTTGGATTTTTAAGAGATTGTAGTACTGAAGATTGTTTTTACAATGTGTGCAGTCTATGCGTGGCACAGAAAATTGCATGTACTTTATCTTTTAAATGCAAACATATGCTGCTTTACACTAGGCAGCGCCTGGCCGTTATATTGTATGGTAGCATTTGTGTGTGTCGCAGTTTGTAGCTTTTGCGTTGTCACTTCTAAGAAATGTTTTTCTGTGTCATCTGTAAACTTGGTCAAAACTCACTTTACTAGCTTCTTTGTTGTACTAGCTGGAAATTTAGTGTAAATTGGTGGTGAAGATTATGGGATAAGTTTTTCCTTATAAGATTGGGTGCATAATGAGTCTAGGCACGGAATTTATTACATAGACTTTAGTTAACCTGTCCTATATTTAAGTTAATATGGTGCCCTACTTTGACTGAAACTGGAGACCTCCTCAGTCGGGAAAATTGATACTATACAAGACCAATATAATGATGTGTAATTTGAGTCTCCATGAATTGCATTAAATTGGTCAATATTTGCCTTACTTTTGCGGATGTGTTGTTATTGGAATTTTTTGTTTCCTTTCGAAATTTTGTACTACGTATATTTGGAAGTGTTTAAATTTCTGACGTCTGTTGGGTATATTTCATGCATCTTGTGTTGTGTGATTTTTTTTTTTTTTTTTTTTTTTTTTTTTTTTTTTGTGATGGAGTCAGTTTCCATGTCTTAAAGTTGGTCAGGCTCGCTTTTTGTGAAGTTGTGCTAAAAGGTGTAAGTGTTCATTGTTGGTGAGGATATTTGGTAGCTTAGTGTGCTCGCTGCCCTATGATATAGCCAACTCCGAATACGTTTTCGTTATGCCTTTTCGTACTTCAGATATTAATTATATTTCACCTTTTCTGGTTGCAGTTACACTCTGTACTTTAGTTTTGTCGTCTTATGTGAATATGCCTTATATATTTCACCTTCAGTCCTTGTTTTCGTCACTTCATTATTCTTGCACCACCCTCTCCTTCTCTACCATATCTCACAATCTTCTTCTTATGTCACCTTCTGCCTGCGTCTCATGGCAACTTCATCATTCATAAGCACTACTTTCTCTAGTTTAGATATTTTTTATATATATTTAGTATTCTCCATCTTCCAACTACCTTCCTTTTAGTTTTACTCGTGAATTTATCCGGCATTGCTTTTATTTTAGACTTAAATAGAGCTCCTTTCCTAAATTAGTTGATGAAAGTTTATTTTTCTTATTTTAATCACAAGTCACAAAATTAAAATGTTTCGACGGAATTGAAATATTTTAAGTTTTGAAGCTATGTTGCTTATTTGAGGGATGATTGTTACCTACTTAATTTTTTATGGCAATAAATTTTGTGGTAATTTAGCAATAGTTTTGTTTAGATGGCTAACCTCAATCAAAGATAATGTACTACTTTGACGTTAGATTTTGTGCAGTTTAAAAATATTATCAAAATTTTAATAATGATACTTTCTTGTTTGTGTGTGCGCGTGTGTATTGTTCGTTTCCTTTCTTTTTTCTTGCCTTTTCCCCATTCTCTTGGTCATCTTCAGGCCGAGAGTTTGGAAAGGCATTTGTGATAGATAGATCAATTGAACGGAAATGAGATAGCAATTTGTCTAATCATGCATGCATTTTCTTAGATCATGACATGGATTAGTCTTGCATTCATTGTTTTCCCTTTTAACTTTACGTAATTTAATGAGAAATGCTTATTAGGCATATATTCATTCATTCGATATGACGTGACTAATGCATGTGAAAAAGACTCTTGATACTTTTATAGACCCGGGTAGATCATATATATCTAAACAGTTTTTGAACGATTGGGTAGAATTGAAGTTGTTAATGATAGTGCTCTATTAGGCATTTATTCATTCCAACTACCTTGCTTGATTTTTTTTTCTAAAATGTTAACGAATATGTAAACATTTTGCATCATGAAATTGTTTTCAATATGTAGAAAGGAGAAATTCATTTTGTATTTCTCTTTCAGGCCAGGTAATTGTTATTTCTCGATTGCTGTAATTTCTTTTTATATATACCACCTACATTCTAATTTGTCACTCTTTGGCGCTTCGTATGTGCAAAACTCCTGATATCGGTTTATTTGTCTTCACGTCCACTATTGTGATTTTCTATCGTAATTCTCTATAACTGGAAAGCTATTTATGGCGTGACACAAATCTGCATAAGAGTGGTTCTTTGGTAGGCTTGTGAATTAAATTCTATATCATTATTGGTATGTACCATCTTAGCTGTCATTTTCGTTCGCGACATCCTTAATCCAATTTATTAAACCTGCTTTTGTGTTGGTTCGGATTTTTTAATTTCCCCGCATTAGAAGAGACTGTCAAATATATACAATATTTGTCCTGTTTGGTCTCTTACGTTCATTCAATAAGGAATATTCTCTCACTGACCATCTATTCTCTTTTACGATTTCATTTTTCAGCAATGCTTGCCGAGATAAAAGAAATGTGCGAAAAGAACCAGAATAAAGATGAAAGCCTCCTTGCCTCGATTGCTGCTGGTTATAAATGTTCAATTAAACCTGATATGGTATTCGAGTATCCGGATCCAGAAATCCAAGACGATCTTCATCAGCTGATGAATTATACTTGTGGAGAAGTTTGCACCCCTGAACAGCGTGACAATGTCATGAATTTGTGGACAACTTTTCTCGAGCAAGTGATGCGTGTTCCTTTACGTCCTTCGACCACCGAGAAGAAAAAAGATGCTGATAAGGAAAATGGTCTTCTGGACAAAAGTACGGAAAGTATTTGTGAAGAGAATGATAGTCCTGCCTATGGATCTCCTTGTGGTGATAATGTTGGTAATAAGGGCGATGTGTTATGTGATGCTCCAGAGGAAGATCTTTCGATTGCGTTGAAGGGTAATTTCAAACTTGTTAGTTTAATAATTATGAAAAGGTTAAACAGAAATAACATTTAATAAAAAGTTAAAAACACCCCATATAAGATTGATATTTACTAAATGGTAATAATTTTGAAATACTGGACTTTTCGTGATTAGCCTGAATTGAGGGGGTGGGGTGGGGAAGAGGGAGTTTGTAGCTAAACTTTTTTTTATTAAACTGCTATGTCTAGTTATTTCCTAATAATTAGTCGTGCTTCACCGTAGTTCTCTTTATATAACGCTCTATTGCTCCTCCATCAGGATCTGATTGTGCTGTTGCTGCTTGCAAGACAGTACCAACGCCTATTCAAGGACCCCTGGTATGTCAGGAGTATCGTATTTAACAATGACTTGTTGAGAACTTGCGATTCACTAGTAATTGTATGATTTCATATATCCCGCTTGTTTCATGTGCCTTTGGTATGTTGTATTATGTTAATGTGTTTGTGTGTATATATATGTTGGCCGTACATTTAATGCAAGATATATTAACAAGGATGGTCATTTTTTTTTCTTACAAATCCCTGTAACCCTCTGCAGGAGGTGTTCAAGAAACCCAGAGAGGAATCTGAAGCCTGCACCAAGACCGAGAGGGAAGAGGGCGAACTATCCATAAACCGAAATCAGATGGAGATCGATAACCTGTTTTCAGCAGATAACTATACCAAAGAGGAAATGATTGCTGTTGCCAGAGAAGAGGATGAGGATAGCTCGTCAGACAGCGAGAAGAACGTTGTGTCTGATGAGAGTGTAGGTGAGGCTGATGTTAGCGAGGGTGACGGAACAGAGCAATTTGTCAATCGTTTTGTGGGGCCAGAGAAGCCGTTGGCACTCAGTGTTCCGATGGGTTTGCGTGGTGGAGTGGAGAGTTGTGGAGTGTTCTACGGAAATGACTCTTTCTATTTGCTCTTCAGGCTTCACCAGGTGATATTTCTTTTATCATTACTATTGTTATTATTTGTTTTGAATTCAAGGTTGTTGGTTTGTTTGGGCAGTAGTATGGTGTTTGTGATTGGAATTATTAGGTGTTTGGAAATTTGGGTGCTGTGATTTAAGGATGGCACACATTGTATCTAAGGTTTAGTTTTGATCACGATTTTTTATTTTATCGGTGATTGAGAATTGCACTGGCCTGTTAAGACCAAATTGATGGTTTCGTTTGGTTAATAGGCTTATCATTCAAATCGTGCATTTTCCAGGGCAAAAGATCTTGAGATGTTATATAGTTACTGGACATTGTACGCGGAATATATTTAGGTATAATTAGAGCCTTCTGAAAGCTGTTACAAGACTAGTTTCAAAATTAGGTATAATAAGAAAAACTACACTGAGGTTTGGCCTTGCGTAAAGGCAACTCAATTATATTTCAAACAACAAAAAAGAGTTTATTTGTAAATTTCGAAATATATCTAGGGCTTTAATGTAATAGAATCTTGAGTTGTATTGGTAATTGGTTCATAATGTCCGTATCTTAACTCACTGTCCTTATTCAACAGATCTTATACGACAGAATGATGAGTGCAAAGTTACATTCCTCATCATCTGGAAACAGATGGAAGATTTCAAATGGTGCTAATCAAACAGATTCATATGCGGGGTACTTTATCAAGATGCCCTTGTTTAAGTATTTGTTTCCCGATTTCATATACAAGAGCGATTAACGTGAAAAAGAAAATAAATAAAAATGTACTTTTGAAACAGATTTAAGAATGCTCTTCGTAGTCTGCTGAATGGGTCCATTGATAATGCGAAGTTTGAGGATGAGTGTCGAGCCATAATTGGAGCTCAGTCATATGTCCTTTTCACATTGGGGAAGCTCATACATAAACTTGTCAAACAGGTTATTGCTTTGTATTTCTATTATCTGTGTTCCTCTTTAAATACTTCTTTTAACTTTTTACTATTTCCAAAAAGCTCATGTATCCACCCGTTATTTTCCACCAGCTACAAACTATTGCATCAGACGAGATGGACAACAAACTCCTCCAACTCTACTCATACGAGAGATCGAGAAATACTAAATCGTTCTCTGATGAAGTTTACCATGTCAACGCTCGTGTTCTTCTTCCGAACGACAACTTGTACCGGATAGAATGTGTAGGTTTTCCTCTCTATCTCGTTCGTGGGAGTATATTGAAAACTTAATTATTCTTCCAATCAAAACAGGCTTTAAATACATAGTGTATGTCCTATATGAGCTCTAACTATTATTTTTTGTGCAGTTGCCTTGTCCAACTCGTCTGACTATTCAACTGATGAGAAAAGAACATGAGAAGTTTGAATCAATTGCTGTTTCAATGGACCACGAATTCGCAGCTTATTTGAAAAATGAACTTCTCACGGTTGTCCCCGAAAGAACTTGGAAACATGGGTTGTACTTGAAAAGGTATGCATGCGACTGAATTCATTTGTGCTTAAATTGCTGAATGTGTGATGTGTTTTAAGTGTTCATTGTCTTGGCTCAATTTGAAAGGAACAAAAAGAAGCTCTATAATGGAGATGAAAGTTTTGACTTTGAGAAAGCAATGGAAGGACTTGTAATCCACAACGGTGTGAAAATGAAAGTGAATAGCCTCACAAAGAAGGTAATTCTGCTGCACTCTGTTCACTCTATTTATTTTTTTTCTTTTTATCGATGGCGGATTTACGATGTGACAATTATGAGAAATACCCATGAACACTGACTTAATTACAAGAAAGGAAAAAAAAAAAAAAAGAATGTCATTGAAACTAAAAGTACCCCTATGAGGTGTGCAATGTTGTGCAAAAATGGAGCAATTATCAAAGAGATGTTTATAAATTGCCAAGATAGTTTTTTCTTTTTCTTTTTTCATTTCTTTCTAAATAGGCTAATTCTTGGAGGGCGTATTTTGTTATGAACCTTATATACAATATAGTTCTGCAATTTGACTAACCCTTGTGTCCTTTCTCAATTTTTACTCTTGGAATTTCTTAGGTCGCCTACGTTTTGGCCACAGAAGACTTCATGTATCGGACGAAAGGAAGAAGGCGTGTTTTATATCAATAAGACCACTGCCAAACGGCTCTTCCAATGGCAACTCGCAGACCATCAAATGTCCCAAGTTGGTATTTAGTTGAAGTCTAAAAACATTTTATCTTTCAGCAGTTGTGTTTGCTGTTTTTGCTCAATCATATACAAAAACAAGCTCTCAACAGTTAGCATATTCTGGTGTATAAATCTTCTTATCTGACGCCCAGAGGATATGAGTCGTGTTCGTAGACTAGATTTACTCTCGCGGACTTTAATCTAAAATGACCTTTTGGTTAGGGTGAAGACAGGAGAGAAGTTTTAGTCCCCCTGACGGATTTTAAAATGGAGGAACTCTTTTCTTTTTCCTTATTTTCTCGTCTCTCCTTTCTTTTTTTCCAACGACAAATCAACTTATATATCAAAGCTCAAACATAGTACAACCGTGCAATCAACTGATTACAAAAACATCAACTCTAGTCGATACTAACCGAGATTGATTACCCGGGTGAATAGACACCACTCACCCTACAAACCACACCCAAACACGCTAAAACACCTCAAACAGAACCAGAAACTTTAAACACACTGGAACAAAAAACTCTTACCCAACAAAGCAATGTCCACATGTAAAATATTATTAAGCAAACTAAAAGTACATAATACAGTTAAGAAGCTTGATCACTTCTTTATGATGAAAGCAGCAGATGATCCTTCTCCAGCCTTCCAAGAGAGCAGCCTCAAGAGCCCATCTGATTGCAAACAAAGAGAGGCCTTTCCGGTTTCCCCGGCCAGAAAGAAGAAATCAGCTCCCAACCTGTAAGACTCTTGGTCATGCAACAATGCCTCAGCCCTCTCAGTGGAAGAGGTGGTGGCACTGACATTCAAACACTAATGTCCTACCGGACCTACCCCGGTGTAAAGTTTCCCTTCACTGAGATGTTTAACTCCAGCTCTGGTCACAGCCTTAGAGCCAGCCTATTCAGAGACACCACTAAACTCTAACCATTCTCTTCTTGCTCCTTCTATTAGTTCCCTCACCCCCCACAAATCCCTTTCTAAATAACCACCCATTTCTAGTTCGGAGCCTCGATGTCAATTACTTGCCTCCGAAACGAGTCGGAACCAGCCACACACCATTTCGATTGCCGGTTAAGGGGCTATGGTGTGTGAGGTTGTTGAGAAAAAAAAAAAAATGAGAAAAAAAAATAGAATTAAGAATCAACTATAATAAATGAGTCATAAGTTATTTAAAATAGACACCCAGTGTCCTTTTAGGATGTTGGGCCTGAAACTGAAGTTGAGCCTTAACCTTAACCTTGGACACTAACGACAATTGAAACACATGTAACTTTATTTTACCGAACAACGTGTCACTTAATAAAAAATATATTTTTCCCTTATCACAACCAATTACTTTTCTATATTATCTATATCATTATTATTATTAATCTAATGTATTGGATTATAAAAAAAAAAAAA